CGCTGCGCCGCTCACACCCCCGCCCTCAGAAACTCCCCTCGGTAATTATACAATTACTCAAGTAATTATGCCAAATCCTGTGCATGCGAGCTGCTGCTGGCTAATATTTAACTTCAACAATACAAGTTTGCAGAAGGAGGATGCTGGAGGGCGGGTGCGCCGTATTCGAGGGCTCGGCGGATGCACGTCCTCGCAACGGGAAGTGCAAGGAAGGCGGCGGCAGGCTCCGAAACACCTCGCAGGGCCTGGCTGAAGAAGACGCCCTGTTAGAGCAAGGTCCATCCCTGACAGACACCTGGCAGGGACCAAGGGGGAGTTGTGAGGAACCTCTGCAGATGCTTCACAGGATTCCTGGGGTCCTCAAGCCTGGGAAAGCGCCTTCAAGTGCCCAGAGTGTCTGCTCTACAACTTGGATTTATGAGAATCATTTCGGTTTGAAGAAACTACATTTAATCTTGTTCTTTCAAAGTTTTCCTCAATTACAAACCTGATCAAAGAAGGCATTATAAATTTTCAGGCCACCATTTAATTCTGTTCAGCCCTGCTCCCTGCCCCCCCAAATAGCAGATAAGGTTTCTGTCCCTCATTCAGCAATAAATACAAAATAAAGAAATACAGGCCCCTTTGATAGCCAAACATATCTGCAGTTTTGGAAGAAGCTTTCTGCAGGATATTAGGGAGGGATGCCCAAATCCAGCCTTAAAATGGAAAGCAGAATGAATGTCTTGTCTCCTTATGATTGTTTCACACTGCTGACTGGTCGAGTTTGTTATTCATCTGTGCAATTACTGATTACCGTTGCCTAAGTTAATCAGCATATTTATTAAATAGTATAAAGTGCTAATCGTGGTCTTACTACATTATGGCAAGTGCACTGGCATTATGAGGCCATTTTTATTACTATTTAGGGAAACAAAATGAGTTCCCTGATCCCGCCGCTTCACATGCTTTTTGCATGTTACCTCCTTGAGCTCCACTTCTCGCCAGTTGCAAAAGGCAGCACACGAGGGTGCTGGATATCGTCTCAGCAAACTCAGCTATGCAGACTGCTGGCTGTCTGAAACTGCGTAGGGAACAAACTTACTTTGAGCCTCAGGTCACTTGCACGGGCAATCAACCCGTACTGCTGGAAGGCTATTCCTTCAGATGAGCTAGCTCTGTTGAAAACAGAGCTTGGTTTGCACCACCAAAGCAGCTGGCCCTCAGGGGTGATACTACCTCCTGCTACCTTGGGCTCCTTATTGTTGAAATACACTACTAGGGAAAAGTTTTCAGCTGAAGGGGAGAAGAATCTATAAGGACTCCATATTTTTTAATGACGTTTACCCGATGATATTGAAGATGTCAGATGTTCTTGTAGAAGCTGGGCTGTCCTTCATCCCACGGAGGCTGTTCTTCCTCAAACAAAGTACCCAGTCGTCTCTGTGGGTGCCACCACCAAACACAAGAAGAGCTCTCTGGTCAGCACCAGCAGATTCAACGACGTGTTTGCCACCCAGGCCAAGGGCTTTTCCCACAAGGGGCAGAGGAAGCTTTTCTGCAATACTATGGGCATTAGAGGTTCCCTAAAGGACCTGCCCCTCCAGAAGACTGGTTTATTAGGAGGATGACTAAGGAGACTCAGAATGACAGTTTGGGTAGTGGGAGTTGGAAGAGAAAAATCACTTCTAAAGGGAAACAAACCCCACATTACCTGTTCTGAAGGAAAAAAACCACCATATCTAAGACTGCCACGTGATTTGTGGTGATATCACCAGCTACAGAAGCAATAGAGTATCAACATATTAAGTAAACAGTCTAATACCATCTTGCATGGAAGGTCCGTCCATGCTTTAGCAATGATACAGGAACCCCTGTCAGAGACAAAGCTGGAAGACCCAGGATACCTGTTCACACCAAGATCCATGATACTTGTTTTGACGTGCCAGCGTTTTGAAGTCTGTTGTTTAAATTCATGGGCAGTCCTCAGCTGAGCAAAATTCCACTTTTCTGGTTGCAAAGATAATGTAAATAGAGGTGTGTTCATAGCTCCTCTTGGGAGACAAAGGAAGGGGTGGCCTGGGTGGGGAAGGCGTAATACAGATCAGGAGCACATAAAATTCTTACTCCACCTTTGCAAGTACGTATCAACCCTGACTACTGTAGACCACCATCCTCACTCAGCTCGGCCAGTATCTTCCAGTGTTGCCTACCTATGTAGTCAGCTGTGCATCAAGTCATCTCCTCCAAATGCCATCTACTTTAGGTTCTCGTTTCCCCATTGTTCAGGCTTCATTTTCCTTTCCTTCAATTGCTAAAAGTTTTCCTGCTTCTGCACTTGCCATCTCACACTACTCTCCTTCCACCTCTTGGTCCCAGCTTACCACTTTCACCTAAAACATCATAAATAGCTTGAAGACTCATGCAGGTACTGTCTCAAGCCTCAGGTATGAACAGAGACAGAAAAGTGCTTTTTTATTGAAGGCCTCCATTCATAACAGCAGTCATAGAATAGAATCATAGAATCGTAAGGGTTGGAAGGGACCTTAAAGATTGTCTGGTTCCAACCCCCCTGCCATGAGCAGGGACATCTTCCACTAGACCAGGCTGCTCAGAGCCCCAGCCAATCTGGCCTTGAACACTGCCAGGGAGGGGACATCCACAGCTTCTCTGGGCAACCTGGGCCAGAGCCTCACCCCCCTCATGGTGAAGAATTTCTTCCTAATATCTAATCTAAATCTGCCCTCTTTTAGTTTACAGCCATTCCCCCTTGTCCTATCACTACACACCCTTGTGAAAAGCCCCTCTCCACCCTTCCTGTAGGCCCCTTCAGGTACTGGAAGGGTGCTACAAGGTCACCCCGGAACCTTGTCTTCTCCAGGCTGCACAGCCCCAACTCCCTTCTAGATCATGGAGCACTTGGGAGCTCTGAATCTCCCATTTTTAAGAGGACAGGCAATCAGAAACTTCCTGAAGAGAAGGAGATATATGTTACGCTATCTCCACTTTGTTATCCAGATGGCTTTATTAGGATGCATTCAGTCTACAGACTAGTGTCTTTTCGTTTGATACTTGAGTATATAAAGAGAAAGGCAATAACCGGCTAAATTTTAGGTGGTGTTCCCACTCCTACAGGAAAAGTGAAATCAAGCATTCCCTGAAGGTGCTACAAGGATGATTTGCGATCTGCTTTTCTGTAGCCCTGTTGAAGGCTGGCCATGAGCTCAAGCTTACTGCTGTAGATTTGTTAGGAAGGGCACTGGACAACAAGGATTTGGCTGCTCTCTTTTCTTGACATCAACCAGCGCTGCATAGGGCAAGTTTAGTCAGCTTTTGTTAACCCCTACAGAGACATATGATTAAGCTTATATTTATTAAAGTACTCCATTGGGAAATTCTTCTTTACTTAATTTCCCCAATCAAAATCTGAATTATCAAGCCCAAGTTCAAATACTGTACTCTGCTTGCACAGTTAATACTGTTTCACAGGCCCTTCAAACCTTCTCTCTATACATGCATTACACCCCTGTGCCAACATGCGTATTTGCCTCTAATACCTTGGTTTTGTTTCATGACTCATCACCTCTTCACTGCTTTGGAAATTGTGGTCTTCTGGGTTTCATACTTGGTATATAAAAAGGTTTGGAAAAAAAGAAAAGGAAAAAGCGTCAGGACAGTCGAAAGATCTCCACCTTTCCAGATGAAAAGAGGAG